GTCCAAATGGGTGTGTGTGTGTGTGTGTGTGTGTGTGTGTGTGTGAGAGAGAGAGAGAGAGAGAGAGAGAGAGAGAGAGAGAGAGAGAGAGAGAGAGCTGCCGCCTCCTCCCCAACAACGAACACAATGCACACTGATTATGAATGTATATAAGCTACCTCTCGGGTCTCGTACTGGTTTGGATTGATTTGCGTGATGTCAAACACAAGAGACTGTACGAACCCGTTTTCCCGTCTCGTTAACCTTTTAAGAGGGTACGAAATTTCTGTGTATGCTTGTTAGAAAGGGGGACTGTGGTATAAACAATGCGGTGAAGTAGTGTGCATGGGGAGGATGGGGTATAGGAGATTGTTGGGTACATCACACACTAGGTGGACCCTCCGACCTGGGCCGATGATGCCTCGTTCAGAGGTCTCACCTTTTTTTTCTTTTGTGAGGGACGCCTGGCCCGGGGCTAGGTCCCACTTGCACGAATTAAGAGATACTGACCGCAGATAGCAAAGATCAACGGCCGAAATGTCCTAATTTGCGCAAGTGGGACCTTGCCCCCGGTTCTCGGCTTTGGTACTGGTGGTTTAAAAAGAAAAAGAAAAAAAGAAAGGGAGCATTAGAGTTTTTTTGGCAATGCGAATGCTTAGAAGTAGAGCCAGGAAAGAAATTCCCTACCCGGTCTTTTTTTTTTTTTTTTCTTTCTTTCTATATTCTTCTCTCAACTTCTGTTTGTTTACCTTCCACTACCTACTCCTAAGGCTATCTAGAGGGAACCCCTGCAAGCATAGGTTCCTCTCACTGTGAAGGGGAGATTTCATGTTACCCGGTCATTGCTGTGTCGATGGTTTTTTTTTATTTTTATTTTTAATACAGAAACATCCATCTCATTATAAATCTGTGTCGATGTTCATGTTGAGTTCTTGAAGGCATCCTCCCCCCAAGCAAAAGGAAGAACTGGCTAGTGTGTTCTTCTTCTTCTTCTCCTTTTTTTTTGTGTGTAATATGTATGTGCTCTTGGGTTCCTCCCCCCCCCCCCCCCCCTCCTCCTCCCTTCCAATCTGGGTCTGGATGCGTAATTATTCAACTTGAAGAAGCGCTTTCCGCCCGTCCCCCCTCTGGATGCTGCATGCAGACGCCGGGGGGAAGCGCTTCTTCAGTTGAGTAATTCCGTAATTGGAACACGGGTAACTTTATTTTTCCATTTTTTGTTCAAATGCGAAGCCGAGGTTGCTAGGTGGGGTGATATGAGCCCACCTAGGTGGGGTGATATCACCCATAGTAGAGCCTGTGGCTGGCCGCTCCGTAGTAGAGCCTGTGACTGGCCGCTCCGTCTCTTGGTGGAGAACACGGGTAAGTTGAGGGCGCAATTTTGGATGTCGGCATGATGCACGGGGTGGAGACAACATTCTTTGCACAGCTAGACTAAGTGGGAAGTATCTCGAACGCAGCATCCAGGGTGTCGATAATAGGGGCATCTACACGTAGAGTTAGGGAACAAGAGGTGGAAGGAAGAGCTAGGAGACAACCGTAGGTTGTACTATTTTCGCTGATGGTTAGTTATTGTTGCCAGACCACTAATGTTCCAGGCGACGATTCTCAGGTCGGGGGTTCGAATTGCAGTTGGGGCAATGTGTACAACCCAGCTTTCTGGCCAGGTAGGGTGCCCTGAAGTGCAATTGCAAACTGTATCTTGCGCCATATATAGTGCAATTATAACTCGTTTTTGTGACTCTACTACTGAAGTTACCCCCGCTATTTTTCTAATATCGGTATCGTTGTGTGGCTCTGTTCTTTTGGTTCCCGTAGAACTTCAAGGCGGCATCTTGTTTGTCCAGTAATACCCTCAACATCCTATCCAGTAATACCCTCAACATCCTATCTCCATCGGCCTAGTCTGTGAGGAACAGTCAGGAGACTCAGTACCTTCGTAACCTGTGCCGCTCCCAGTGCTGCTCTTGCTCTTTCCAAAGCCATCCCATTTCCGAGGAGTCAGTAGGGGGTGGCCTCCACCACTTGCCATGATGTCCAGACCTGTTCCTCCTGGAGCTGTGTCGTCTCCGACAGTTGGATTAGCACCGGTTTGAGGTCCCCGAGTACTAGTGGTACCTGCTCTTGCAGGACCACTAGCACTGCAGGGGGTGAGGTCCACTGAGTGTAGCTTCCCCATCTAGTCCTCACACTCTTCTGTGTTCCCCATCTGTGTACCCACCGAGAACACGGGGTGATTGCGTCCCTTAACTATTTGCCTGTTTTCCAGTCGATGAGGTCCCTCGTGCCATGGGTGATGAGGGCTCCTGACCTATGTACCTCGACCTCCCACTCCCCATATCTGCTATTCCATCTGCAAGGAAGGAGGACTCTCCTGTCTTCTCCTTTTTTTGCATTCAGTCTGGCTGCAGCCTCTCTTTCCTTCTGCTTTCCATCTGTGATCTTTTGCAGGCCGAGTGTTTGTCATCTAGTACTTCGTTCTTTTCTTTTAGGGCCATAACGATTGCCTGTGTGTCGATTTTTATGCTCTTTCTGCAGAGGACATCGATCCTCAAGTCGGGCTCTGTTTAATCTGCCTGCCCAACTGTCAACTTGCTCAGGGTGGGTATTGCTCGTCTTTTTGCTCTTCTTGGGTCTGCTTGGGCATGCTTCACCCTCTTCATAGGTCCTCGGCTACCGGAACAGTCTGTCCTTTTTTTTTTTTACTGAAGGAACAGTCTGTCATATGTGTGGTTGTCTATCTGCACGCTCTCTCCCTCCACTCTAGTTTTCAGGCTGTATTGTTGTGCCAAAAACTCCGACAGCTCAAGCTCCCTCTGTAGCACATTGAATCTGTTTTCTGATGTAGTGGTTGGTGCTGTCTGAAATGTGCTTGCCCAGGCCTGTTCCACCTTCCGGCGATACCTGTGGTGATCCATCTTCAGCTCACTCCAGCTCCAGTACCCTTTCAAGCCGTCCGACTTCTTTCTCCAGCTATTCCATGTCTTCTTCGCCTACTTCTTCCCCCTCTTGGTTGCTGCTCTCCTCTGCGTCTTCCTCCCCCTTCTCTGTGTTCTTCTCCTGATCCAGCCTCCTCCTATGACCCCCGGTCCCTGTTGAGGACTGTTCCTCCACCCATGTCCTTCCCTTGCCCCTGCCTTCCGCTGGTCTCTTCTCTGGCCCTTTGGCTGTCCCTCTCTGGCTGTGGTGCCGTGCTTGTCTCGACGCCCTTGCCTCTCCCTTTCCTCCCCTGTTATTTAGCCTGTCTTTTATCGATCAATGTTTTTTGAATTTTTTCATCCAGTTCTCCTATTTTTCGCAGCTCCCCGAATGTGTGAACTACTATGAAGTCTTTTTTTTAATGGGAACAAGGCTCCAATCTATTGGTGGGAGCAGCACGTGCTGGGAACCGGGCCCAGCGTCCCATATGGAAATTTACATAGAATTTTGAAAGTTTGAGATACCGGGGCCATTACCCGGAATTTTGGAAGTTTGAGATACCTGGGCCATTACCCGGCTTTGGCTAATAATAATTTGAGCTACTTAGAAAATTACTACGACGAAATTCAGAAATAGGCAAAATTCAGACAACGACTCAGAAACCGCCCACCCCATCAATCCTCTTTACCTCACTCCGGCAAGACTTACTGCAGCAGAGCCACCATCTCCGCTGCTGCTGTACCCTATTTCCATCCTACGAGCTAGCCCTCTCACTAGTAGGATGCTTCATGTCCCACCATCCACTTCTCCCCACTCACTTCTATTTTTGAGAAACAAAAACATTTGCACAATTCAGAAAAAGACTCAGAGCCCCCCAAACAATCCCCTGTACCCCACTCCGGCAAGACTTACTGCAGCAGAGCCTCCATCTCCACTGCTGATGTACCCTATTCCCATCCTACCAGCTAGCCCCCTCACTAGTAGGAAGCGTAATATCCCACCATCTCCTTCTCCCACTCACCTCGATCTCTTTTTTTGAGATACTGGGGCCATTACCCGGCTTTGGCTGAAAAAACGTCTGAGAATACTTGCAGTAATGGGAAGCATGGGAATAGACCGCAGAGGTCCTACAAATGCTCCAAAACCCTCGAAACCCCTAACAAACCCTTCCAAAGTTCTCCAACACTGTCTTACTCCCTGTCGAGCTCTTCCATGCCTCACACCCCCACATCCTGCTGGGTTACAGGGCGACACAACTCATCCCAGCTCCGACCAGTGTCGTCACGGGAGCAACCCTTGGTTGTCCCGTGGAATGCCCACCCCAGAGCATCCCCAGATCTCTCTACCAGGCCTCATGCTCCTGCATCAGCAGGTTA